AAGATGCGAAACGACCGTTGCTTTGTCAACACTCACCAGTCGCCCTGGTGGGAGTCAACTGATCCGTGATGAACTAGGCTTCACAGATTACGGTGGCGCACAGCCTAAGCTTCCCCCGAAGGTCGTCCAAGATCTGCAAGTAGCCAGGGGTGAACTGAGCGGTGAAGGTGATATGCCCCAACGTGCTAAAGAAACATCCGACAGTATCGAAAAAATATTGACAACGTACTGGAACAAGCCTTTCCTGGGTCTCGAATTAGCCCCTGAGGGAACTGTACGGCCTAGACGAAGCCTTGAAACGTGTACGCAGAGAACTCGGGAACAACATGGGGAAACTGAACGAAATCGATAAGCACATCGCCCGCGAGAAAGTAAAACTCGCTGAAACGGAAGACGAGTCTCTGAAAACCATCATCGAAAAACGATTGCGCAACTTGCAAGATGAGAGACGGACTCGGTTGGAATCCGCTTCCACGAACAGGGAACAGCTTCGATCCCAGATCAACCATGTGCGGGAAACCATCGATCGAGTCCTGAATGAAGACACCACGTTGGCCAACAGGATCCGAATCCTCTTCCGAGAGCAAGGGATTACTATCGCCAGCATTCTGACTGCATTGGGCTTCATCATATCAACCCTGGTCATGTCGCTGAGTGGGGGTACCCCCACACCCCCAACACCCACTGGTGGCGGTGATGTTAGAGACTGGATAAAAAAACATCTGAAATCCCTCGGGGAGGCCCTCGATAAACTCGCTGGTAAGGCTGCCCTGCCCGGCATCCTGGGTAACATCGTCTCATGGCTGCTCAGCACGCTGGCTAAAACTGTCACGTGGCTCGGCCAAAACCTTTGGGCAGCCGTGGTCGCCCTGGCGGGTCTGGTGTACGTAGCGGTTAAGGAATTTTTAACCAAATGAGACCCAACCCGGCCACAATCCCGCCAACCACCAGCGCTGTTTTACGGTCGATGTGCTGCTGATTGGACACCTGCACGTGTGGGGATTTGGGCTGTGGTGGTGTGGGTTGAACCCTGGGCTCCGGGGGTGGTACTACTATACCCGTTTCACCGGTCGTGTGGGGTGGGACGTGACTCACGTTGATGTCTGGGTCGATGCCCAACTTTTGGTCGGCAGTGGCTATGACGATTTTGTGCTCGCTAAGCGACGAGGTCTTCAAACCCTTGGAGCCGAACTCAAGATGAACGACGCAAACGGCACAGTGGTGTTAACCAACAACGGAATAAACCCCTTGAGGCTCGGCCGACCATTGGCGAGGACACTTGGGATGTCGCCCAACGAGATAAAACCCACAACTACTGTCACAGGCACGAAGTTACCCGACCTAGTACCGTATCGAGAGCTGTGCATACATCTCGTCCAGCTGAGCACAACGGACAACATTCAAGTTGGCCACCCTTCCACAATACTGAGAGCTGTACCGGTGAAAACGGAGAAATACAACGATGGCAGAACTGAGTCGTTTTCACCGCGGCAGTATAAGAGGTTAACTTGGGGCACCATCCCTGAGTTGATAATATCAGTGTTAGATATAAAGCATAATCCTGTGAATATAGGATACCTCAACATAACGCTGCACATAAGATGACTGCTGCACAAGGTCCCGGAAGGGTGAAGAGATGCGTCAATGTAGGGATCTTCGACCTCGGGGACACACGCGGGTTCGACGCCCCAGGAATAGACGGTAAACTGTACGCCTTGCAACTTAAAAATAACATTTACAAACGCGTTGAAGTCCCTGCCGGGGGATCTGACAGTAACTTAAGTGTGACATAAATACCGAAGGAACGAACAGCAACACTCGGTACACACTAGTCCGCAGTGATGATAGATGGATGTTATACCGAGCGTTCGTTGGCAGCAAACTGTTCGACCTAGGCGACGTCGAGGCCACGCCCGTTGCTCGAAACAAGCAGTATACCCTCGTCTTCACCGACGACGATAAGCGGGTGTTGTTACCCTCTCGAGTAGATTGGTTTCTCAACATTAAGCTCGGCTCCCCCTACGTGTTCACGGAAAACAAAGACAACTACCTAAACAAAGTCGTGAACAACGGAACCCTGCTCGTGGCTTACGTCCCGACGAAGAGGCGCAGCGTAGTCATCAGCCCAGTCTCCAGTATGGCAGCCCACATGCTGTCGAGCAAGCCCGGGGCGCAAAACTCCACACTGGTCATCCAAGTCTACCTAGGCGAACCACAGCGTGAAGTCGAAGTCGTAAAGGGGATCAAACTCCGGTGGGGGCAACAACACCAGTATCAGGTTTGCACTGTTTACGTGCGGGTGGGTGTCGACTCCCACGCCAGTATGCAGGGGGTCACCGTGACCGTGGAAGACACGATATCACTCACCAAGATCTTCCTACCCGACAACATACACTTCATGGGGGTGAAGTGCACCCCTGAGAAATTATCAGAAAAACAATTGGAAACTATCTCGTAATAGATACCTGATTGGCATTTTAGAAGATGATATTTGATGAACATAGAGATTTTTTCTGGGTTACATCTTCATGTTTTACCTGATGATGGGGCCAGAACAAGCCCTGAAACGTTGTACTCGAGAATAAAAAGAAGATGTAACCCAGAAAAAATCTCTATGTTTATCTCGTAATAGTATTATAGCAATGTCCAATCGTCATCGGCCCAACGCCACAAGAAGTACCATAGAGCTTTCAATATCGTGGATGGGGCTGATACTGCCCTTACGACAACCAGCATGGGGCTAGGGGTGGCAGGTGTTGGGTTGTTAGCCACCATCGTGGCCGCACCTATAGTGCTAGGCATTGAAATAACAGCTGGGGTGGTAGGGTGGCAGGGTTGGTGTTTAAGTTTGCATCCCGCAGACTGCATCGTAAAGCGTTGAAACACGACGAGATCAGGGTTCTGGCCGAAGCAAAGCTGAGCACGGTAAGTGAGCGTATTTCCACAGCACTCACTGACAGTAAGATCTCAGAGGAGGAATTTCGTTCAATCCTCTCTGAACTCGACAAGTATGGTAAGATGAAACAAGAAATCCGGTCCAAGTCTCGTAAGTCTGATATCAGCGAAGACGAGAAAAAAAGTACATAGAACAAGTGGTACGAAAAGCCCAGCAAGCCTTTATTACGAACACCAAAGAGATCATAGGCGATTCACATTAAACTGTTTCATCGAGGTCAACATGACATAGAGCTATCACGTGATCAGGAAAGTGCGGTCATAGTGACACAAAAGTGCCACTTGTGGCTGGGAAGTTAACTGGGGATTCAAAAGTAATATATACAATGGGGGCGAGATCTAAGGGTCTGAGGAAAGCTTTATTTATGAAACATAGCGAGATAAAAGTTAAGTTACACACTATAATAATTTCAAAAATCGATATTGTATATATCCTGTTAACAGTAACCGGGTTGCGCTACTGTAGCAAGTATAGACGGAGCCCAGCTTTGGAGGATGATGCAATCTCAGGATAGACCCGTTAAACTGAGATTATTCAGCTAAGTCCCCGGTAGCTCAATCGGTCGAGTGGTGCGGCTCATTATGTATAGTTTGCGCGGGCTATACATGTGGGTTCGTATCCCGCCGTTGCCTCAGTGGATTCCTTGCAACTTTGTGGGATGTGAGGTGTTTCGGTAAGGAATCAGGACCATATCAGTTGGGTCGCTGAAAAGGGCTTAGCTGAGCGTGGCACTCTCATGGTGAGAGAAAGGCAGCCGACGCAATTCCCCTTGGGAGAAGCGCAACATCATCTTTCGATTTCACCCTTGGGGAATTGCGGCTGCCGGGGACATTTTACTACTTTTTACAACCTTTCTATCTTTCTATCTTTCGGTATATTCACAGTCATAGTGACACAATAGTGTCACGTGTGGCCGGGAAGTTAACTGGGGATTCAAAAGTAGTATATACGATGGCGGCGAGATCTAAGGGCCTGACAAAACGAAGCAGCCGAGTAGTATATACAATGATTGTCCGAGATCAAGTCCAACAAAAGCCTCTGTAAAGCTTTATTTCATAAATAAAGCTTTACAGAGGCTTTTGTTGGACTTGATCTCGGACAATCATTGTATATACTACTCAGCTGCTTCGTTTCTTGGGAAGTAAACCCAAGTACAAAATATTGCACTTTTGATTTGCGATTGTACGCAAATTTTGTTTTTATGTTTTTTCATAACCAGCAATGTATATTATATGTCATGAATAAGTGATAATTGTGTTTTAATTATGTTTGATTTTTTGGTTGCATGTGACCTTTAAGTTTAATATTATATATATGTAGTTCATTTGGTATAGCCGACTTATATTTGGCATCTTTGAAATGGTCAATGTTTACATGGTGGTCAGCATCAGTTCCATTACAATCTTCTTCAAGTATAACATTACATTGTTTAATTTTCAAATCTATTTTGTTGTGTTTTGTTTTGATGCAAAGTCTTTGTTAAAGTTAATAACTTTAGTATTCTCATTCAGTTCACGATCAATATCACAGATCTGTTCCAAAATATTCCGTCCTTCAATTTGAACAAGGGGGACCTGTTCAATGTGTGATGTCCCTGTCTTGTCTAATGACTGACAAGCTAGTTCATTGTCACTGCCTTCACTTGAGGAGCTGGGAAGAGTCACATCCTGAGGGAGGTCTACTGACTGACAAGCTAGTTCATTGTCACTATCCTCACATGAGGAGCTGGGAAGAGTCACATCCTGAAGGGGGTCTACTGACTGACAAGCTCGTATTATAGGCAAGAGATTATGGTACTTGCCACAATAAGAGATATACAATTAACATTATTAATGACAGGTGATTAAGAGGGGAGAAGATATAAAGTATGAAAGGATTTAATAATATATTTAAGATATGAAGTGATTAATAACGTTGTAAGGTAGGAAGTAAGGTAGAAAGTCAGTAACGTAAGTAATGAACATGAAAGTAGGTCGTTGGAGCTGATGAGGGCAGGGTGAGGTGACTCATAGCTTAGATAGGGAAAAATTACTATACTATCAAGATGGAGCGACGTGGCCAGGGACCTGGCTACCAGTTCTTGGTACTCTACGAGCCATATATGGTTAGGGGAGAGAGACTCTGAGATTACTGGAATCCACCTCACGGTCGTACAAATATGGTAATGGGGGTACGAAATAGAGGTGGGGGAGAGTAATAGATAGTCAAGTTATGGGTTATTGACCAATAGAAAAAATGAAAAGGGTGTTGGCTGTGACGTAGGAACCCAGGTTTAAGCTGGAGCAAAACCCAGAAACGGGAGTCTGGTGCGGGCCTGCTCTTGCTGTTGGTCACTAGAAATCGTCTGAGAAATTATCTTGAAGCACCAGCATTTTGGCCTAAGCCTGAAGCTTTGCGGCTGAAGTCTTATAGAGTGACCATAGAGTAGGTTGACCAGCAACACAGTGTTAATAAAAACTATTGAACGAAGATCATTGTCTTGTGTTTGCTGGATGGACTATGGTAAAGTTCCAAGGGCCCCCGGGTACTGACACTGTACCTCTCGCACATTCCTTATCGTCAGGACCGAAGTACGGGGGTATACCGTAGTTCAGGTAACGACACACCATCCCAGGTGCGGGATACTGACAGGTAAATTCCATCTACCTGCCAGGTAAAGGTGCTAGTCGGAACGCCTTGGAAAGGTGGCTGGAGGCGCAGGGTAAGTTCCCCTGTAGCGAGTGGTTGAGAGGCTGAAAGTGCTGTGCAGCGGTTGCATGCACGGCAAATTGCAACAAGCAGAGCGACGTTTGGCTGCTTAAAAGAATTTTGGCTGCTTAAAATATTGAGAGGCTGAAAGTGCAGTGCAGCGAGGGCACGCACAGCAATTTGCAATAGGCGGAATAAAGCTGGGCTGCTTAAAATATTGAGAGGCTGAAAGTGCAGTGCAGCGGGTGCACGCGCGGCAATTTGAAATAAACAGGGCGACGTTTGGCTGCTTAATAATTTGAGAGGTTGAAAGTACAGTGCAGCCGGTGCATGCAAGGCAATTGGCAATAAGCAGAGCGACGTTTGGCTGCTTGATAATTTGAGAAGTTGAAAGTGCAGTGCAGCGGGGTGCACGCACACGGCAATTTGCAATAAGTAGAGTAAAGCTGGGCTGCTTATTTGCAAAGCAAGGCTGAAAACGTGCAGCGGTTGCACGAGCAAAACACTGCACTTGTAAGGTTGAGTGCAAACGACGACTTTGGGACCGGCCGAGGGAGGGCTACGCCACCAACGCCAGCTGGCCGAGAGAGAGAGGGTTGCAGGTACAGAGGAAGGCAGGAGGACGACACAAGATCGACGGAACCATAGGTGGGACGGTCCGTACGGAACAGTGAACCACCAGGGAAACAACAGGCTGAACTCTTATGTGACAGTGATCCGATAGGAAAGTGACGGACAGTGGTGTGTGACATTTAGACTAACTTATAGTGCACATTCCACGGGATCGAATCTGCTTTAGGTAAGCCAATTCTATTATTATTTATGGTGAACACTTTGTAAAAGAGCGAGATCCTTGAGAGAATCATGCCTGTAACACCCAGCAGTAGCGGGAATCCAATCTCTTTACGCCCTGTCAATCAGCAATGTTTATCCCCTGTAGCTACATCCTCCAGCTGGTCTGCATTATTTGCTTCCCCATGCCCAAGTAGTAAGACCGTCCCGTCTGACCAAGAGAGCCCTACTACTATGGTTGATACCCCGCCAATCATGTCCGCCAGCGTTGCAACCACAACATCCAGTAACCAGAGTACTAGTTGCCCCCCACTTCCAGTTGAATGGTCACCGTTCTCTTCCCCAATGACAGGCCCCCAATTATTACACACTGATATCTTCAGTACACCTGTCACTCTTACAACAACAGTGGTTCAAGGCTGCCCCGCCCCACCCACGTATCAATCCAGCGTGGCCACGCCAAATGGCACCAATGCACATTCCATTCCGTCAGTGAACCCAGCTCATTCATTCACAAGAGCTGTCTCATTATCTGCCGTGCTAATGAGCCATTTTGACGGTAAGGACCCATTTTGAGGGTAAACACTGGTTTGACGGGACCTTGGCTAAGGATCAGTGTTCCTGGCCAACCTTAAAGAGAACCTTCTTGCAGCGCTATGCCCCAAATTCCATTGTTATGTTAAAAAGGGCTAATGACCTTATAGATAGGAAACAAAAACCGTCTGAACCATTCGCTGTCTTTTTACAGGCGGTCAGACGTCAAGCGGCCTTAATCGGCGGAAACAATGATGATTTCGTCAGGGATCTCGTTCTTAGAAATGCAAGCCAAGATGTAAAACGTTTTGTACTTACTAGGCCACACACTACTCTGTCCGAGGCCATACAGAGTGCAGAAATTGCCGATGCTACTGGGTCCCCTGAGGACGAATCCAAAGTAATGCAAGCCATTCATGTATTGAGCGAACAGGTGGACGAACTAACAACTCATGCTAGGCAACCTACACAACCAGTAAACGTTGTTGATTTAGGTCGGTACTTACACACTCCGACACAGCAAAACACACACATGCTCCAGGAGCCACCGACTTCAACTCCACAGCCAACCATGTACCATCCACAGTTCATGCCTACACATACATCGCAAATATCCTATCGCCCCAAGAACAACAACCACAACACGAGGAGACATCCAAATAGTCGTAATGTCCGTTTTGGCCAACAGGGAAACTATACCGATAGACCGGGGAATTCTTATGGCCCTCGAAATACAGTACAGGACAGACGCCCGTTCACGTGTAGGGGTTGTGGTATGCTTCACTCCCATCCCCGCGAATGAAGAGCCAGGCTGATTACTTGTTATCGGTGCAATCAACAAGGTCATATAGCTCGATGGTGTCAGACCCACCAACCGTCCGCATGACTACAAATAGACGGGGCTCCCACAAACATAACCCTCAGTACTACAACCAGAAGGGAATCCCATTAACAAACCATTCACCAAGAGATTTAGGCAATCCGCCATATCCAGGGGTAATCAGTTCGCCCAACCCCCCACCAAACACTAACCCCCTGGTCACGGTTTTGACAAGTGTAGGTTGCCCACCGACCCAAAATTCTCCCCCTCTCTCCCTTCCCCCACCAACAGACCTATCACTCAGCCACCGAACCTCGGGGCAAACCATTACGAAGACACTAAGCACCCCTCCTCTGCGAATGGAACCTGGCCAGAACTACACTACTGCTAGCATTACTACAGCTGGGTCAGAGGTCAATCATGTTACTGAACCGCGGGGTTCCCCTCCCAAGGTCAACTGTACTCCAACCATCTGTCCCCAGTGATCACCTGTCACCAGGGTCAACTGTACTCCAACCATCTGTCCCCAGTGATGACCTGTCACCAAGGTCAACTGTACTCCAACCATCTGTCCCCAGTGATGATCTGTCACCAAGGTCAAGTGTCTTCAAACCCTCTGTCACCCCGGATGACATGTCACCAAGGTCAACTGTACTCCAACCATCTGTCCCCAGTGATGACCTGTCACCAAGGTCAACTGTACTCCAACCATCTGTCCCCAGTGATGATCTGTCACCAAGGTCAAGTGTCTTCAAACCCTCTGTCACCCCGGATGACATGTCACCAAGGTCAACTGTACTCCAACCATCTGTTCCTGGTGATGACCTGTCACCAAAGTCAACTGTACTCCAACCATCTGGCCCCAGTGATGACCTGTCACCAAGTATCATTGTATTCAAGCCTGATGTCACCCATGATGTGATGTCACCAAGGTCAGATGTCCTCAAGCCGTATGTCCCCAGTGATGGTACGCCACCGGGGTCAAATGTACTCAAGCCCCCTGTCACTCCCGAGGGCCTGTCCCCAAGACCAGACGTCACCACGTCTCCTGTCCCCAAGGACGCCCTGTCACCGTCAGTGTCACCTGCCCCCGGACACCACCCCTCAACACTGGATCGGCTACTACAAGAGGACCAGCCTACACGGGATGGCTATCGTCGCCGGGCTGCAGACTTAGCCATCGATTTAACTCAAGCTAACCTCACGTCCACGGAACAGGACGCACTTGTGTTACTGCTTGGCTGCCATAGGGATGTGTTCGCAAAGGACATCACAGAGCTTGGACGTACTCACCTCTTTGAATGTTATATTGACACCGGATCACACAAGCCGCTGCGTCAACGGACCTACCATGTCAACCCCAATCAACGTGAAGAACTTAGTAAACATTTACAACAAATGTTGGACAATGATATCATTGAACCATCCTTCTCCCCGTGGGCTGCCCCAGTGCTACTGGTCAAGAAACGTGACCTTACTACACGCTTTTGCGTGGACTTCCGCCGTTTGAATAAGATTTCGACCCTCGAACATTGGCCTCTCGTGAATATTGACCAGTCGTTGATGTCCCTAGGCACCAGTCAAGCATGTTATTACACCAGCCTGGATCTTATGTCTGGATATCACCAAGTTCCCATGGCCGAAGACAGCAAGGAAAAGACAGCCTTCATCGTCCAAGGCGAAGGAGCATACCAATTTAAGGTCATGCCCTTTGGCCTTGTCAACGCTCCCAGCTGTTTCTCCTTCATCATATCATCATTGTTCTCCTCCATGTCCTGGAGATCTGTCCTTAGCTATTTGGATGACCTCCTCATTTACTCAAAAACGTTTGAAGACCACTCGACACATCTAGAGGCAGTCTTCGCCAAACTCCGCATGGCAAATTTACGACTGAAACCCTCAAAGTGCCATTTTGCCCTTTCCACTATCAATTACCTAGGTCATGTGATATCAAAGGAAGGCGTTGCTATGGACCCAGCCAAAGTTGACAGTGTGGTCACCTACCCTCAACCTACATGCACTAGAGAGCTCCGCTCCTTCTTGGGGTTGGCTGGGTACTATAGGAAATTCATAAAGGGTTATGCTAACATTGTCGAGCCTCTACACCGCCTACTACGGAAAGATACTCCTTATGTCTGGACAGCTACCATGGAACAGGCATTTGCAACTCTTAAGTCAGCACTCACATCAGCCCCTATCCTAGCATATCCAGACTTCACTAAGCCCTTCATATTGTCGTGTGATGCTTCTCAAAAGGGGGAAGATGGCAAGGAACACCCAGTCTCATTCGCAGGTAAAAGTTTGTCTCCAACACAGAAGAAGTACTCCATCACCGAGAAGGAGTGCCTGGCTATCGTGTTAGGCCTCAAACACTATCAACCATTCTTGGCGGACAGTCACTGTACAGTTGTCACCGACCATGCAGCCCTACAATACTTGAACTCCATCAAGGACGCCACCGGACGTCTCGGTCGCTGGAGCATACTGCTATCACAATATGACCTGCACATCACTTACGTCCCCGGGCCCAAGAACGGCAATGCCGACGCCCTCAGCCGACGGCCCTACCCTCCTAGAGAGGATAATGAACAGGAGGAACTACTAGGGATCGATACAATCAGCCACGCCATACCAACAGCGGAACAGGACGCTACCCAGGTCACAGAACAGGAGACAGACACACCCGTTGAGGATACACACCAACCACAGTACCCAGAAGGGATGCCCCCAGATCAACTACGTGGCCTACAACTCGGAGACCCTTCCTTCCGGGAAATTATGGATTATGTGGAAAAGGGGACACTACCCAAGGATGACCAAACAGCCCGGCGTGTCATGCTTGAGGCGGCCGATTATGAAATGGATGAGGGACTTCTCAGGGAGGGACGCAGCCATGCGACTCAAATATTACTGGAAAGGGATGTACAGTTTTGTCAAGATGTGGGTTGCCACATGTGTACAATGCCAGGCGGCTAAACGCGACTTTCACTATCGTCCTGCCCCACTGAAACCATTGCAGGTCGTCGACCAGTGAGGGGTATCAGTATGTTTTGGTCTGTGTTGATTCTGCTTCAAGATGGTGTGAAGCTTTTCCTCTTAAATCCAAAACAGCAAAGGAAGTCGCAGCAGCGTTCTATGACGGCATAATCACCCGACACTCTACCCCGAGAGCCCTTCTGACAGATAATGGGGGTGAGTTCATCTCGCGCCTCCTCACGGAGCTCTGCAAACTGCTTGAAGCTAAGCGACTCCGGACATCCCCATTCCACCCACAGACTAATGCCGTGGTTGAACGAATGAACAGTGTCATCGCACAAGCTATCCGGGTCTACTGTGAGGATGCTAGGGAAGCCTGGCCACATCTCCTTCCAAGCATTATGGCAGGATACCGACTGAGCCCAGCCATCAACTCTACTGGCTACTCACCTTACTTCATGGTCTATGGACTGGAACCCCGGCTTCCTATCGACAACATCTTGCAACCTCTCCCAGATGGCCTCCCGTACACAGTCAGAACAGACCTGCGCCAACTTCTCGACAACTTGGATATTGCTCGACATATCGCTCAGGCCAACGTTAAATCAGTGCAAGAGGCATACAAGGCGAGATATGACCCCAAAGCCCGGGGCCCCAGCTTCACGGTAGGACAGAAAGTGTGGCTAAAGAAAGGAAGCCTACAGCCTCATATTTCACGAAAGCTCCAAAGGGCCTACACGGGTCCATTCTACATCGTCTTTGCGTACGAAACCCCAAACTACCTCCTACGCCGAGGTGGAAAGGACACCGTGGGTACCTAGGCGTACCGTTATGACACCAAGCCAACTTTACACTTATCACATACACACACCCAGATTGACCACATGCCACATCTTGATTCACACACCAACAACGAAAGAGAGAGAGCCCAACTGTTTTGACTAGTTGATGGGAGGCAGGCGCGTATCCAATGAGTCCCACTATCGCCCATCGGTTGGACAAACAAATTCTTGTCGGACAAGTTAGACATTGGCCTATTGAGGCGGAGGTTATATTTTCAAGATGAGGTATACCCTGCTGTTTATCGAGTGACATTTTCACTGTGATTTGAAACTTTATACTTCCCAAATCGTTTAGTTCCTCATTGACTTTATCAGCGACTAGAGGCTTGATGCAGCGATGTCTATGTTCTTATCAACATGCATGCGCCAACCTCTCAGATAGTTACCTACAGCGCGCTCAGTGCGCACGAACTCTAGGTCGATAGCTCTATTCTGGCGTAATAGTTCGACAAGCTGGGACTTCCTCATACGGGAATAACCTACTAACCCCAGCTCGCAGGCTTCCTGTTTGAGTTGTTTCACGGTGTGGAGCTGAACGCGACCGTTCAGCCCTACGGGGTCGTGTAATAATGCGACTAACCCGGCTTTCCCCAGGCGGGAATAACCCGTCAACCCCAGCTCTTTCGCTCGAGAGTTTTAGTTGTTTTGCCATGGGAGGGGATTGTTTGTTGAGTAATCTCAACAATGCTGGTCTCTTCATTCGGGAGTAACCCACTACACCTCGTTCTCTCACAATCTGCTTGAGCTCGCGGACAGTAGTCATTGTTATACGAAGGTGTATACAATCTCTAATTGGGACGCCAACAAGGGAGGTAACTTTCACCACGAATCTAGTCCCCCACCCAGTGCTATATTTAGAATAACAGTATCGATTCTGGGCTCAGGATAGCTTTCCCGTTTTATTATTTCCAGAACGTTGGGTATACACGTATATATATTAGCTGATTCAGTCAATACTTGTTCTCTGAATACATCCAGCTTTCTAGAAACAATCATTTGAAAGTTGATTTCCTCTTCAAGTTTGGTAATGACCAGAGGTCTGAGGTTGTCGATTCTCCATTTACCCGGAAACATCAACCAGATTCTCAGACCAAAAGCCGGGGGTTGAATTCGTATGAACGCAGGCATTATTATACCTAGGGGTACACAGGCTCTAATTGAGTCACTGGAGGTAACTCCTCCAATCATTAAAAAATTACACCTCCATGCTAAGGAGACGTCTACATTCGTTTATGTAGTCTTTTTTCTTCTCGTAGATAAGCTGGTGCCTGACTACGTTTGCCCCGTAGGCTTTACATAAACAGTAGTGACATTTCACTCCAATACTGCACACTGAACACGTGTAGTTCACAAAACATTTTCTATGAAAACAGTAGTACCCCTCCATCCTACATTTCCTACCACAGGTCTCGGTCTTCCCCCTAAGTATGTACTGACATCGGTACGGGGCAGGTCTCATCTTTGGTATACTCATATGAGTACTTAGTCTAATTGTTTTACAACCAACGCAGTCGCTGCTAGACCCAGCGCGATAAAGATCAATTCCTGGTCCTTTTGCCCTTGGGATGGTGTGTAGTACTGAGCGAGTGTGGGCTTAGAGGGTAGTTCTATCTATTTGCCGGTTACCAGGAAGTATTCTCTCGCTGCGGCTTCAAGGCTATCGGATGCTTTAATGGCACGGTTCTCACGCCAGAGTTGTTCGTTAATGACATTTCTCTTCTGTATACGTTCCTTTGCGTACTCGGCTTGCTTGGCTTGGAATTTCTCCAAGACCAAATCGTGATGCTTCCGTTCCGCTTCTATCTCGACCTCGTTCGACCCCCGTAGTTTCGAGAAGAGGAAATTACTCCCGGAAAATGCCAGGGCGTTTACTAACGCCCCGCCAACCATCATTGTGATCGTAGCCATCCTATATATAGTTACATTTACTTCAAAATATTTTCCGGTAGGATCCCTTGTTTTACGAGGATGTCTTTGGTGGCCATCGCCATACCCAGGTTCATTATGAGCATACCCATATCCTGCAGGTTGAAATCTAGCTTGATAGTCGGTTGTTTAAGCACCATTTTGGTCAACCGAGCGTACCCTATGGCTAGACTGGCGACCACAGTGGCGTGGTATGCATCGTTGACGAACGTTTTCCCCTCAGACATTATGTATATGATATAAAATATATATTTATAACATGATATGTGGGTTGACCTCTAATTGTGGGGGAGGGATACCCTCCCGGGGAGGTTGTTTATTATATAACAATAATGAGAGAGCCACGGCAGCAGTTGCGCCTGCAATCCACAGGAGTGGAGGGTAGTTACTCTTATGTTGGTTAGACCACCTTTTTCTACCGGCGGCGACTCTCTTAGGGTTCTTCTTCCTGGTGACTGTAGGATTCTCCTCCAAACCCTCCCGGGATGGATTCTTCTCCTGGGGAGGGGTCTCCCCCAGTAGGGGTTCCCCCAACATTGGACTCATTTCTTGGGCAGCATCCATCTTGTATACTATTACTATTATTTTTCCCCTCCTTAAATTGACCATGCTTCGCCGTGATGATCGCCGCTGTCACCGGGGCTAAGAACATGCCGTATTTGTGGTACAGCAGGCAGCTGACGGCGCTAAAAGCGTGTTGTATAAAGGGGGTCCTTCTCGAGGTCCTCCCACAGGTAAAGCCGGCGTTCCAGGGGAATGGGGAGGGCATACGATGCCAAACCGGTGTAGATCTGCGTCATTGTCGAGTCTATAGTCTTCATCATCTCAGCCCCGAGCCGGGACTCGTATCTCGCGTACAGCTTATCAACCTCATCGGTGGACAGTTTCTGGATTTTATCAGGGGAATAGTCCCCAAAGTATTGTTTGGCCTTGCTGCCAACAGCCAGCGCCATTAGTTTCTCTCGTTTTTCATCACTCTGATCCTGCGGAACCAACAGTTGTTCGAGAGTAGGTCGTCGCACTCCATCCTATAATATACCAAGTGATTCTTTACTCTAATGATATAATAACCGATGCAGGCGAAACACATCGAGATGAATGGTAAATTACACACGATTAGCACCTCACAAACCATAATTACTTAGCATTTGCTTAGCTTTGCTTAGCTTTGCTTAGCATTGCTCAGCATTTACTTAACATCGCTAAGCTAAAACACCCAAAAGGCCACGGGTTGGTCGGTCTTCAGCACGAGCTTAGCATGCTTAGTTTCAGCGAGCTGTTTCTTCACCCGTTCTCGTTCTAGTTTGCTCATCACATCGTTCTCTCTCAAGCACTCCTCGAACGAATTCCTGTCCTTGCAGTGGAATAAGGCCACCCATCGCGTCTGCTCCCTGAGGTCTTTCAACACCAAGTTGAAGATCTAGGTTAGCACCCAGACGCTGTGCTTTGCGTGCCGGCCGGAGAAGGCCAGGTACGATAGCATGTCTCTCTTTTTTGTTATCTCAGGATTAGCGCTGCAGTCGTCCAGTATGAACAGCGTCGACTCCCCTTTAAATTTGTTGTGATAAGCCTTCAACCAGTCCTGCAGACGTGTTCCCGGGTCGACTTTGTGTACGTCCGGGTCCGTCATCACCCAAGGTCTTTCCGTGTACGGTCTATTCATGTGTAAAGTAGGGCACATGATAACGATATTGTCGAACACATCCCGGTAGTACCCCTCCAGCATATCCAACACGAAAACGGTCTTCCCACAACCAGTCTGCCCGCACACTATGGCACAGTGCAGGTCGCGGGGTAGATCAATAGATGGCTTGCCGCCAGGCAAATCAATAGATGGCTTGCACGAATCTCCCATTCTCTATATCAAGTTGCGCGTCCATAATCATGTACAGATATAATTTCAACTTGCCCGCGGGTTGAGCCTTCTTGGTTATCTGGATTGTTATCCCCTCGCTGCCGTTGTCGATGCAGCGACTGCTGCCGTGCAATTTATCATCATCCGTGGATCGCATGTCCAACCATAGCGCGTACTTGGTGGTCAGGTATTCACCGATCTGCACGGAGGATAGGTCCAGGTCCTTGATGACGTGTTGGTGCCGGGTCGGTAGTTTCGTTACCTCGTCCCACTGCTGGTGCGCCCTCATACCGGCGCTGAACAGCTGGTTGGGCACTCCCTCGATGGTCACTTCCACCTTCGTGATCTCGGGGTTTGAAAAACTTCTCGCTGTCCTTTCGGAACGGCTCGTAATCCTCCATGGGGACGAACAGGATACCTTTCATCGATTGCTCCGGCACGGTTAGGTTGATGTTCCACAGCGTGTCGCTCTTGTCCCGATTGATCGCTCTATGCCTCAGGACCCTATCGTACATGATGGCGACCTTCCCCTAGTACTGGTTTCGAACCTGCCTGGCCAGCTCCGGGCTAGTGACCATGTCGAACTCCAGAGAGATGTTGACGATGGCGTAACTGGCCCCATCACCGTTCGGCGTACGCACGACTTTGCTGTAGTCGTTCAACGTGAGCTTGTATTCAAGTCTATCCTAAAACGGCCTGGTAAAACGGCGCGTGTCCCGTGAGCAACTCGAAGTCGAGCGGCACGGAGAACCTGTTCCCGTATGCTTGGGCGATGGCCTTTTCACCAGCTGAGATCTTGTCTAGCTGGTCTTGCGTGAAACCGTACCCCACGCGCAACCGAGTCGATTTGCTGATACCTTGGTACATGTCATTGACGCGTTCTCCCTCGCTTTTCCAGAGGTCTCCGTAGCAGTGAAACACGTCGCTGTCGTCGATGCTCAGCACCTCGTTACCGCTGATCTTGATGGTGGTTTTCTTGATGATGGCTCGACCTACGTTCCGCACTAGCTCGCGTTTGTCGTTGTCGGAGGTCAACGTGAGGTTGAACGTCTGTCGAACCGTGCCTGGTTTGGGAATCTAACCAGCAGCGTTTGGTTCTGATCTATCTTGCTGGGATTGTTGGTGATGGTCACCGACTTGCGCATGGCTCTGACGCCTAGAGGCACTCTTCATCTTCGGAAAGGATCTAGTTTCCTAC